GTCCCCTGTCCCTGCTCCTCCCTCGTCCTCCTCCGGATCCCTTCCACGAGACAGAGGTTCCCCGCCAAAGGCTCCCCTCCCTCCACCGCCTTCTGTTTCCGAAGGTTTTTGGTTTGCGAGCCTCTATCCAACCAGGGAAAGCTTATAAACTTTATATCAACTGCTGTGCTTAAGTAGCTGTTCTAAATTTATTTCAGCTTAGCGATACTGTCCAAATGGTTTAGAAATGCTGTCTTTGGTGTCTCTTCTGTAATAAACTTCAGGGAACTGGATGTGCCCTGGTAAGCCCTTTCCCTGTGGATTAAGCTAATTCAAATGTCTAGTGTAGGTTCTGCAAACTTGCAGTCAGTGTGGGCTGACAAATCTCATTGCCTGGACCTGTACAAGAGGTGGACTGACATAATCTGGCAGTTAAAAAAAACATTTTTCTTTTTCCTAGGGCAAAGGCAGTTTTATTTAGGGACCGTCGAGGCTCAGTAATGCTGGAAGTCTCCCGTGCTTAAAGGCAACCTGTGGAGTTTTGTCAGAATCCTGATGGGAGCGAAAAGCTCGTTTGTCTTTCCCTTGTGGTGCAATTCTTCTGCTCTGCTTAACTGTCGCATCGCCTGAGCGTCCGGTTGGGCTGCTCCAGCCGCCGCTCCGAGCGCCACGCGAGGGGGAAGCGGGACCCTTCTCCCCTTCATTAGCTCCCCGCGCCCAGGCGCTCTCCGGGGATCTCGCGGGGCCCCGGGCGGGAGGAACGGCCTTCAATCCCGCCGGAGTGTTTCTTGTCTCATTCCAGCAGGCCTTTTTGTTTCGTTTTGGGAAACACAAAATCAAAAACAGGCTTTAGAAAAGCTGTGATGAAAAGGCGGCAAATGCTGACTTAAAGGGCAGTGTCAACCATCTCTCCAGGCCTGGGCTTGTGAGTAAGGTGTTTAGCCGAGGAAACTTAGCATCTCTGCTTGTTCACAAGTTGTATTTCCTTGAGGCAGCGAAGAAAGGGGGCTGGCTGGAAGCAGGCCGTTATACTGATTTTTTTTTTTTTTTTTCCCCCATCTTTTTCCCTCCCCCTCCCCATAGCCACAACCTTTCAGAAGTGCTTTAGGTTCCGGGCCCGGGCTGGGGGGAAGCCTCCCTCTCTCCGTGCCTCTCGCAGGCTTTTGTGTGTGCTCAGATCCGATGTGACATCTGGGCACGGCGAGGAGGAAGCGGGGGCCGGGGGGAAGCCCTGGAGAGGTTTCTGAGGCGGCTTGTGCGTAATTAAAGCGCCTGCCTCCTGGGAAACGGGAATAAAGGCTCCCCAGGTCCTGCCACGAATTACACGACTTACCGCGGGACCAAAAGTGGCCTTGACAGTTGCCAGAAGGCGGCAGGGGCGGCGCAGCGAGGGCTACGGAGGGGAAGTTGTTACGAGCTGCAGAGCTCGGCCTAATGATGGCATCCCGAGGGGGGGTTATTGTTCCGAGAGGGAGGATGTGAGCAGCTGAGATTTCATTACGAGAGCTGTCAAAGAGCTGGTGCTTTTGGAAACCTACAGAAGTGTGTGACAGCAGCCAAATGCCACCGATCCGTCAGGCTCTTGGCAGACGATTACAGCCCTGTTTGCCACAAAATTGAAACCTCCCATTCCAGCTACAGCTCTGTGAGGTTTTATTGTGTCCCTGTGTACAAACATTGTAAAGATACTAGTGTGAAGTGTGTTACACTGCAACAATAATCACATCGTACCTGCGGTTCAGGGAGACCTTTAGGATCGCGCGTCACAAGAGTCCCGTCTGGTACCCTTAGCTGGGCCAGAACAGCAGAGACAAAAACCAGAGCCAAAGCAAAAAAGGAGTGGGACAGGGAAACAGCCCATGTGGAAAGATGGGGCATTTATGGTGAGGTCCAGCTTTATCCCATTTAGTGTCCCTTTATCCCATTCAGTGGCCTGAATGTCAAAGTCTTGCCAAGAACGCGCTGCTAGTCCTTGAGTTGCAGCTCAGTAACAGACTGTATCTCCCAATTCACAACCGGGAATTCGCGGAGGGAAAGACTACCTCCCTTCTTTGTAGCTTGGTATAAAGACATTAAAGGTTTATCATTTATTACTTTAGCACTTAAATGTCTTTCCCAAACCACAGTGGAGTGTTGTGAGCGAGTTTCTTCTGCTGGGGAATGGAGATGATTGCATTTTATTTTAGCAAAAACTTGCGTTCTGTTTGGTGGCTGCTTTTAGGGTGAATGCAAATGTGTTTTAAACCCGACTATATTTTTTGCGTGTTTGTCATTGCTAGCTCATGGAGCATGGTTCAAGGGGAGCTGTTTGCTTGGTTTCCCCTGAGAGGCATAATTCAGTAATACAAAATACTTCTCTCTTTGAATGTAAGATAACTTCCATTGAAAACTAAATGTTAGTGTAGTGATGCCATATGGCATTTTACATTTGTACGTGGATATTCCTTCCATTTAGTTGATATCTTAATGTGGATATTATTTCCATTTACTCAACATCTTAACTTCATATTAACTTCATATATAAAAGGAACAGCATTTTTATTGCTTGCATTTTGCATTAATCAAGTCTGAAATGTTGCTGTATGAAAATGAAATCAAGTCTTTAAAATTGAGTCACAGCAAAAATGTAGAGGATGTCTTTTATTCTTTTTGTACGCTATACTTAAACACCATTAGTATGGCTTTATCTGGATTTGCTGGACACGTTAAAAAATAAAATGCGCAGGTGCATTTGGGTGACCACAGAATTCCTCATTTAACTTGTTGCTGCTTTTCTCCCTCCCCGTTGTGTTTTCCCCTCTCCCCGTTGCTCCAGGTGCTCAATCCTTGCCTGCAGCGCGTACGTGGCTCTGGCTTTGGGCGACAACCTCATGGCGCTGAATCACGCGGATAAGCTGCTCCAGCAGCCCAAGCTGTCAGGGTCCCTCAAGTGAGTTTTGACACTCAAAACTTACTCAGCTTCTGCCCACCAGTCCTCAGACATCTCTCAAAATTCCGCAAAGGGAACTGTGGTCCCATTCTTTTGACCTTGTTTGTGCATTCACGTCTCGGGTCATGCACAGCATAAAGTGTCTGGGGGGTTTTTGTGACAGTAATGAAATATTTCAAAGCAGGTTCTGTACAGAAAGCAAAGAAAAACACAGAGCTTACTTCTCTGCACTGGCAGTGTGTGTTCTAAAATGACCCATGATCACTAATTTCTTTGACTCCCGTGCTTAAGAGTGCTGCAGGAGATCATCTTTTTGCACAGTCATTCTGTAAGCAAGATTTTAGAGGAGCTTGGAAGGTAACACCCGATTCTGGAAGGCCCGCAGTGTTAGTGCTGTGTTACCTCATTTGTCACACCAGGGTGCCGCTGTCTTTCTGGAGCGGCAGCTCCTGCGTATGAGGTAACTGCCAGCATTCAGGTGCACAACCCTTGCAAAACTGGGGTCCAAAATCAGCAAATGGCAGAACTGGGTATCGGGGCAACACTTCTGTGGGTGAGCCAAGCTCCGTGCAGCATCGCTTCGGTATCACACTCTGTGCTTTAGATTTAAGCTTAGAAACGACAATTGCGTGCAGGTCTGTGTTGTAACGGTGCATGGGGGCCGTGCGCTGACGTGCGTACCCGGCCCTTTGGCCTTGCAGGTTTCTTGGGCACCTGTATGCTGCAGAAGCTCTCATCTCTCTAGACAGAATCTCTGATGCCATCACCCACTTGAACCCTGAGAACGTCACCGATGTTTCCTTGGGGGTCTCCTCGAACGAGCAAGACCAAGGTGAGTGAATCCATGCTTGTTTGCAAGTGGTTGTGCTTTCAGCTGCCTTCCTGCTCTTTCTGTATGCAAATATCATTATATTTGCAATGATTTTAAATAAAACTAGAACAACTGATAGATTCTCTTCCTTCCTTGTCAAACCGTGAGGAGAGAATCAAATTTGTACCTGCTGTCCTGAAACTATCATGTTTGTAATAAGCTTTACACAAGGAAGCTCACAGAACTTCTGTTGGTTTTGTCTGTTTTTCTAGGGTCTGACAAAGGAGAAAACGAGGCGATGGAGTCTTGTAAGTACCGGCCATCCTATTCAGCCGAGCCTTGGCCAGCTCAGGATGCAAGTGTGGGATTTATTTACACATTTGTTTGTTTTCAAACGCAGCCGGCAAGCAGACCCCGCAGTGCTACCCCAGCTCGGTCACATCTGCGCGGACGATGATGCTCTTCAACCTGGGCAGCGCCTACTGCCTGCGCAGCGAGTACGACAAGGCGCGCAAGTGCCTGCAGCAGGTACGGCCTGGGCTCCAGGCCGGGCCCGGGAACGCTGGAGGTGCTCCCGGCTTCCTGGGGTGCAGGAAAATGCCAACGAATGCACGGCTGAGAAGCCATTTCCCCTTTCTTAACCTATATTTTTAAAGACCTGGTGGTGGTCATTATGTTTTAGGGGAGAAAGTTCTTGAGGGCCACGAGTGAGCTTTAATCAGCTGGTTAGAGCTGAAGCTGGTAACGTTAGGACTGTGCGAACAAACTGCAGCAGGTCGGGTCCTGGATGCAAGCGGATGTTTATTAACCTTTGCATGAAAATTCCCAGAGTTTCCAGAACTTGTTCTTGCCTTGTCTTTTGTGGCCTGAGGTATAGGAGTAGCTTTGGATTCCAGTTTTCCTAGTTGGCTGAAGCTGGTAACGTTAGGACTGTGCGAACAAACTGCAGCAGGTCGGGTCCTGGATGCAAGCGGATGTTTATTAACCTTTGCATGAAAATTCCCAGAGTTTCCAGAACTTGTTCTTACCTCAGGCCACAAAAGACAAGGCATAGGAGTGGCTTTGGATTCCAGTTTTCCTAGTTCTTACTCTCTGGTAGTTCCTGGATTGTCAGTGGTCAGCCTGTGTCCCCAATAAGACCTGCTGAGGTTGGGTCTGTCAGGAGCTGCCTGCTCTTTCTCTGAATAGAGCTGAGTCCACAGGGGTTAAAGCTCGAAGTGCCAGATACGACGGAGTACAGAGACCAGCCAGTTTTCCCTGACAAGGTTTAAGTGGAGGGCCAGATCAGCTGATAGTTACTGAGCTTGTTAACTAAATGGTTTCTCTTGGTTCACAAAGGTGAGCAGCTGCACCACCAGCTTTATTTAGAAATGTGGGCACAAGTCCGGGAGAGCCCTGTAGCAAATCATCACCTTGGACTTTTCTTTTCCCTTTTTTTGTTATGGGCTGATCCTTGTTAGCTCTGACTCCTGACCCTCGGAGCAGGAGCGGTTGCGCTCGCCTGTCCCCTCCCAGCAGCCGGCCCTGGTGTTACTGCCCCACCGGCGCGTGCGGAGCAGCTCCCGCCGCCGCCGTGGGTCGCAGTCTCGCCAGGCAGAGCGTCTCCCAGCCTCTCCTTGCGAGCGTGAACCTGCCGGAGTGGGTTAGTTTGGAAGGGT